TTTTTTACAGAATATTTTTATTTTATTTTTTTTCGGAATTTTGGGGCCTCACCGAAGTTACCACACATTTACTGAATATAACGCCCGGGCGTTATAAACGAATATAACACCCGCCGGGCGTCATATTCGTACACAACGCCAGGGCATTATTTTCGGGTGAAGACGGTAGTTCTCTTTCCGGTTTGATGCAGTCATGATCCGGGTGCGCTGCGGTCGGGGGATGGCGGTAGTAACCTTTACCCATCCACATATTGCAAAACAAAAACTAAAAGGCACAAGGAAACAGCGGTCCCTAGCAAAGAAACGTCCAAGAAAAGAACAAAGAAAACATAAAAATGATAAAATCATGACCGAGGACAGCTTACCCACCTCCCCTTCGAAAATATTGTCTATTAGTTCAGGTGAGAGCACAATATCCTCCAAGAACTTTGCCAGTTTCCCTTCCACGTCCTGCAAAAGACCAGTCAAGCACCATCAACTAATGGCTGAACATTGACTTAAAAAAAAAAAATAATAATAATAATAATAATAATAAAATAACAGCAATAATTCTCCCAGGTGTACTGGTGGTTTCCGAATTTTGCAAATTCAATCTCAATGCACATATTACAGTCTACAGGCTATTGCACATATACATACATTCTTAGTGCATAGGCCATGCATAGGCTATAGCAAATAGTACCAAATACACATACATTCCCAATGCAAAGGCTATAGACAATAGCACATAAGCATGCATTCATATAACCATAGGGTGAACAGCTATAGGCTATAGCTTCTAGTATAGCACTTATACATACATTCTCTAGTATTGCATAGGCTATGCACTCTTGCAAATTCACAAGGTCATTCTCACTGCAGACGCTTATAGGCACATATATATTATCACATAACTATGAACTAGAAGAGCGCACTTTGTGAAACAAACGGCAGAAACAAAAAAAAAAAAAAAGACAAGGCAAACATGAAGTGCACACTGAAACCATCATTTTTATCAATTCTTCTTTTAACTCCCCCTTCACCGTGCCTCTCAACTACAAGGCTCGCCACGTTGATGAAGTTGAGTGCGCGCTGCCCCCATTCCCGATTACCATAACGGTCCACTTCTACGCTGTGAGAAAGAGGCAGAGGGAAGGGGGAGGGGATAAACACAGGGAGGAGAGATGGAGAGCAGACAAACAAAGAATGATAAAGGGAAAGTAAGGGAAAGTACGGAGTGTGGAGGCTCAAAAATGAGTCTGTCCTTGACGACAGAGAGGACATACACTGTGAGGATGAGGTGGATGAACACATGGAAGACCTAGCTGAGCATTCTCAGTGCAACAGTTGCCACGACGGCTGGCATTGAGCATGCCCACCATACACCCTCAACAAATGGCACGTCGATTGGATGCGGAGGGTGCCTGCAGTCAGGAACGGAGGGACAGTCCTCTGCACAAATGGATGCAGAAACCATGTCATTGTAGTGATTGTGACAGAGACGATGGCAGCTACAACCGAGTGTAACAGTGTTTGTGGCTGTGCAAAGGAGAAGGTCGCATAGTGTTGGTACACTGTCTTGCTGCAGTACGGGGCCAGAGGAATGATCTTCGACATAAAAGAGATTGCGGACGGTTTATTGTGGCAAGAAGACAGCATCACTTTGTAAGAAATCAGTGACATCAGTCATGGCATGGACCATGGTGCCGTTGTCCCACAGCTCCCAGTGGTCAGAGGCATGTACAATGGCCATGTAATGGCCAGGCCCGTGCACAATGCAGGCAGAGATGTGGGATGGAGGATTAAACCACTCACCTGCTCGAGCAGGTGCTGCTCGAGCATTGCGTAGTTCACTCACCTGCTCGAGCATTGTGTAGTTCAAGTTCACGGTCCCTCATTGCTACTTGTAGGACAGCAAAGGTAAAGCCTCCTTCGCTGGCATAATTACAATCCTCTGGCTGTAGTTGGGGAAGATCAGCATCAAGCTGAAGGGCGATTGCAAGGAAGTCTGATGGTGTATAAAACGGGCGGTGGAGAATGTGAAGACAGATATTAGTTGTCGTCAGACCACAGAGATTGGTGAGGTTCTCAGGCTGGTTTGTTGGATTTTGGCCAACAATTTGCAGATCACTCAGATGGTGTTGCAAGGCCATACTGAGTTGGGTTGTTTGGTGGTCAGTCATTTGCAGATCACCCACATTCACATAACCATACAGTGGCATGCAACAATTAAAGTTTTTGGGGATATTGTTGAAATGCCCCTGAAAGTTGGGGTGTTTCGTCAGATACCCCTCAAAGGCATGGGTACGGTGAAATGCCCCTACGACAGTCATGAAATTTTGCAAAATACCCCACTCGCCAGTTGGACCTGTCATATTTTGCATATACCCCTACCGGGCCCTTGACATCTTGTCTATACTCCCAGGTATTTCTGTCCGTTGGACGCTGCAGATAACAAAAGAAAAGCACGGGCCCCTGCAGCCCAGGGCCGTGGCATATGACAAAGTTGCCGATGACCAGGACAAGGGCAGATGCAGAAGTTTGGGGCATTTCGGCCTACCCCTGTGTTTTAGGGGTATCTAGCAAAATAGCCCAACTCTTACGGGTACTTCAACAATTTTCCCAAAACTGTAAACGCCAATTATTTTATCAATGGGGAAAAAAAAAAGAACGTTGTCGCAATTTTATCCTCATTGAAATTTTAAATTTGCATTATTTTATAACTAAAAAAAAAGGAAATTTGTGACTCACCTTACGGTTTCGCAATTTTATTCCCATACTCATAGATTGCTCTTGCAAGTTCTTGATCTCTGAGCTGATGGCTCCAAGGTCAGCCTGCAAGGTAGAAGCAGAAGGAGAATCAGAAACCGCAAGCAGAAACAGCACGAGAGAAAGAGAAGAGAAGACAGGTCGAGGAAGGACAGGTCAGAACTGACTGTGGTCTAAACCACACCACCACGAAGGTTGTGCTCATGCTACCGTCTTCATCCAAATCGAAAGCGGGGCCATTATCACTGTATCTAGACCGAAAGTTGTGCCAAAAACAGTAAGAGAAAGAGAAGAAAGACAGGTCGAGGAAGGACAGGTCAGAACTGACTGTGGTCTGAACCACAACGCCACGAAGGTTATGCTCACGCTCCCGTCTTCATCCAAACTGAAAGTGCAGTCATTATCGCTGTATCTAGACTGAAAGTTGTACCAAAGGACACCAGTAATGACCGTGTGTTCTATTAGGAGAAACAGAAACCGCAAGCAGAAACAGCACGAGAGAAAGAGAAGAAATACAGTGCAGGAGCAGCAGAAGGAGAAAAAGAAACCACCAGTAGAGACAGAAGGAGAAAGAGAAACCACCAGTAGAGACAGCAGGAGAAAGAGAAGAAATATATGTCAAAGCCCATACTCACACAAGGACTTTCAGGAATGAACTTGGGCACAATTGTAATCTGATACATTCTAGACAGTCCTAGTTTGACTATGCCCTAAAAGCTTGAATAATTCGTGAACCCACTTTCTGCCGCACACCCTCTCCATTCTCCACCTCTCTCTCTCTCTCTCTCTCTCACACACACACACACACACACACACACACACACACACACACACACACACACACACACAGAGGAGTGTGAAGATCAGAATTGCGATATAAAACCATCCACCACAGGCACTGACAGTGATGGACAATGAGAAAACTAGCCAATTAACGAGATTCCCACTTTCCCTATCTACCATCCTGATATAGGCTGATTAAAAAAAAAGAAATCGAAGAAGAAGATCCGTCCAAAGTTCTCCAAACAGACACGAAGTCACTGATGAAATCAGACCGGAGGATTACAATCGGGATCCCAAATTGACCGTTGTCCTGAGGCCCAAACCTTTCCTGCAAGTTTCTGACACGGCCCTCCCCATCTCCCCCCCTTTTTTTTTGGCTTTTCTCTCTTTTTTTCCAACTTTTCTGAGAAAAAGAAAAAACTTCAGACTCTCGAAAATCGCACAGGTTGTGCATCACGGCAGTGTACAATGCTGGATTCAAGCCCATCTCTCCTTCAATACACACACACACACACAAAAAAAAAAAAAAAAGACACAGAAAAACAAAGAAGGAAAAGAAACGACAGAGAAAGCGAAACAGAAAAGCACCCGATTATTTGAACCCATCCATAGCCAACCGTAGATCTCAATCACATCGAACATTGAGCAAATTCTCGCGCTGTGACAGGCGGGTCAGATTTTACATCGGACGTCTGAGAGTCCTTGATCCGACGGCTGGCCGCAATCGCAGCAAATCCCATGCATGGTGGCCATTTGAGGCTGCGGACAGTTGGACGCACAGGGACAGCCACTGATCAAACATCGAAGGTGGCCAACCCCCAGCGCCCACCACGTATGCAGCCTGCGCCCGAAAAGCCTTAGTAGGGCGAGAGACAAAAAACAGAAACAGCATATCTGTACCTGGTCTACCTGGGCCAGGTGCAAGGTTCAAATTCCGCCTAAGCCCAGCCGTCTCTTCATTTCGCAAGGGAAAACAACCGGAAAAAAGAGCAAAGAGATGGCTGTTGAAAAATCCATGTCTTCCTCAAAAGTTTGGTAAGAACTCAACATACACACAACACATGCCTAAGGTCCTCGCTCCACTACACAACACTGTACATGCATTTGGACGCTTGAGGGACCAGGTGCATTCGGATTGTGAATGTATTCGGGCAAGAAAGCGTCCAAATGCATGTACAGTGTTGTGTAGTGGAGCAAGGCCCTAATTGTCGCCTGATTATCAGAGGCAGAGAGCATGGTAATCATTTTTGTACTGACCTGAAAGCCACCGAGGAGTTCTTCCATCTTTCCCAAGATACTGTCGCACTCTCGTATCTGTGTATGGAGGAGGACCAGGTTGTCACTTTCCTTAATATAATCCTGCGCGACATTATTTCCAATCATCGACCAAGCAAAACAAAGTGCTGCAACAGATTAGGGGGAGGGGGGAGAGGGGTGAGAAATTGAGAAATGAAAAAAAAAAAGGGCCTTATACTGCTCCATACTCCAATCTTTTTATTTTTATATTTTCTTCCCTCACTGAGGCTCACTCCTATATATTACGTGATGAACCCAGTTTTGTCATCCAATCATGTCGTCAAACAGCAATGTCGTGCAATGTCGTGAGATAGTCAATCCAATAAGTCCATCAGTTCGAAGTCATTGAAGTGCATGTTTCCTCGTTACCGCCTGTGAAGTCTCGAAGTCCACAGTAACCAGAAAAGAGAGGAGGGGAGAATAGACAGTTGAAGGAGAAGTGTAGCACAGCAATTAAGTCCCTCTTCTCCTTCGGGCTCCCCACCTCTGCCACATCAGCAATCTGCACTCAATGTGCTACGTCAGCACTCCGTACTCAATGTGCCACGTCAGCAATCTGACTCAAGGTGACACGTCGGCACTCTGCACTCAATGTGTCACGTCAGCAATGTGTACTCAAGGTGACACGTGGACGATGTAGAAGCCACCCCTCGCAGATGAACAATCAATCGGCAGCGAGCAGAAAAAGCAGCGGCTTCACATCTGAAGAAACCACCTACGTACGCACGACAACTCACATCACCAACACTCTCCTTCTCTCTCTCTCCTCATTCCCTCGCCATCATCTATGGTCGCCTCATTGGCCTCTCTCCCTCTCTCCCTCTCTCTATACTACGATATCTGGCTGGCGCCCATCCAGCACCCTGGTGCCAGCACCTCCTCTCAAGTCTCACGTGCAGCGTCATAGCTGCAAGCAACTCGCAAGACTGAATGCTCGAGCAGTGGCGAGGTCAACCTTTTGCAGCGTTGACTCGCGCTGTCGAGGGTCAGCATCGGTCCATGTGAGGGCCCAGATCATCCGCTAGTCCCAGTTTCGGTCTGGACTCCTTTAGGCCTGAATCTTCCGGAACCGGCAGACAACTGTTAAATCATTCCAGATCAACGGCGAGGAAATCTTCGGTGTTGACTTCGACTTCTCCGATCTGGGCCTGGGTCCACGAGTTGACTGTTGACTTTTTGGTCAACTGTCAGCCTGGGCCCCTTCCAAGGCCTCTTTGAGCCTTCTTTTCAAGGCCTGCCCATTTGTGCTTGTCTGTGGGCGCGTCGAGAGCCCAGCGGCTCAATTTAATTAGAGTTTTTTGGAACTTTGTCCATCTTGCAATGACCCACATACTTTCAGACTGAGAAATTTGCATTTTGTTCTGAGTAATTAAAAAACAAAAAAAAAGTTGCTCTCTTTGACACATGGTTTTTTTTGTTTTTTTTTTTGGCTGAGATTCCAGAGTCTGAGGGCATACTCACAGGAGGACTTTTTCAACCCATCTCCGGACTTAATTACGGTAAGATACGTCCGATACTGGCCACCTTGAGCATCTCTCACAATATGTTCTACACTGCACAAGTCAAGGAAACTTCGTTGCGAGTTCGAAAACATAAAAGCGGTCAGATACATCCAGGAAAGTCCTCGTGTGAGTATGGCCTGAGTCAGTCAGTTCGTCAGACCGCAAGTTTAGCCATACATGCCAGGGAAGATAGCCAGATAGCCAGATAGCCAGATAGCCAGTAAGCCAGATAGCCAGTGAGCCAGATAGCCAGATAGCAAGTTAGCCAGATAGCCAGATAGCCAGATCGACAGATAGCCAGATAGCCAGATAGCCAGATAGCCAGTCAGCCAGTCAGCCAGTCAGCCACATAGCCAGATAGCCAGATAGACAGCTGGCCAACTCAGATATCCAGATAGCCAGACAGATAGATAGACAGAAAGACAGACAGACAGCTAGACAGCCATATAGCCAGAGACCCAGAGAGCCGAATAGGCAGATAGTCAGATAGTCAGATAGTCAGGGCGCTGTACCTGTATCGACTCCAGTTCCACTTGTCGCAGCTTCTCCTCCACATCCCGCGCAAATTCTCTCAACTCACTCCCTTGTCCCAAAATGCTGGAGACAACCTGTGCAGCATGCACACAAACGATTGGAAAAAGCTGTACCTGTCAGACCTCTCGACCTGTCAAAATTATCCACCTGTCAGAAGGGCAGCCAATTAAACTAGTTAACAACTTAACACCTTTGTTTTCCCAGGAATTTCAGTCACACAACTTGGACCAATCAACTTGATAAAAGGGGTAATTAACCCCCCACTTCTTAGGAAAATCAACTTGATTACTACACTCTTATAGGTTCAGGGCCTTCAGGCCCCACTGTTCCTGTGTGCCATGTCCGGAAAGCACAACAGTGTGTTCAGGCTCAAGCTTTCGTCGCATAAACATAGCATCAGTCGGAGCTGGCCCTTAGGACAGAGTATCGCCATTTCCTTTTCTTTTTCTTTTTTTTTTTGCCACTTCACTTGACGCACAAAACATCAAAGAGTCCCCCAGAGCAGACGGGTTAGTGTGCAAGTCCTTAAATAAAAAATTTAAAAAATATAAAAAAAAATAAAAAAATCACAAAGTACACTGAAATTTGGCAGATGCAATATAGGGAGCAACAATCTAAACGCAACGAGCCTCTTAGTTCAACACCAGTGAGCGCACATATTCACACCACATGCATGTATGAGATCACACGAGATTCACACTGGAGGCCAGAGAGATGAAGACCATGTAGCGCAGCTCAAGAATTCCAACAAATTGTCATATAAACAATTAAGAGTTTCGGTCACAGGCGCTCAACAGCGCAACCCCGAGCATTCAGAATCTCCACTCAGGTATGTAACTTTCCTGAAGCTCTTCTCTCTTCTTCCTCTCTTGGTCTTCTATCTGTCTTCCACCTCTCTATATCTCCCTAGCCGCATGCACTCACACTTTCTCTACTACTCAAGGACCAACTCTGAATACACCCACTGTCAACAATACTAACCCCTCTGAAGGCTACCTCTAACTACTAACACTCTGCACTGGTGCAGCTATGGCTGCCTTTTCCCTGCCAACGCAATCTCTTCCTCTCTCTCCTTCTCTCTCTCTGCTAGCACAGCACTCTGGCTTCAGCGCTCTGCCCCTCACAATAGCGCACAAGTGCACCAGCACTTCCACACTTCATGCGAATGAGCTATCTAACGAATGAGGAGGCTGGCCAGTCCTTTTGTAGTCTTGGATTGCACTTCAACTCGTGCCAGCCTCTGCTTCTTGGGGCCTGACTGGGTTCAGGTACCATATCCCCACGGCCTGTCTGCTTTTGAATGTCAAGGCCTGGAAACTTCCCGAATTTCCATTGGTCTGCTGCTGCTTGGGCCTTTGAGCCATGACTTTTCGATTTTGGCATATGGTTTTGACCGTAGACTGTGACTCCTGCCTCTGGGACACGACTCTTGCCTGTGGAACTGCCCCTTTTACTCGTGGGATGTGACTCTTCAATATGACTTTTCATTATGAAACATGATTTTGCCCTTAAGATGTGACTGTTTGCTGGGTCCCTGTTGGACTGGACTGCTAAGGTACCCAACTGTGACTTTTCTGAACTTGACTGACTCAGCCTTTCTTAGCCAGGGCCTCTGACCCTGAGACCCGAATTTGGGGTCTGAATCGTGGAAGGCCTTTCATAAACTGCAGCTACAGAGTAATAAATGGACAAAGGGTATTGTAACTATTGTTACGTGTCGGAATAAATAAATCATAAATAAATAATAAAAGGGCTATTGTGCAACGAATTGCAGTTTTCCGGCGGGCTGTACAGTGTACACTAACTAAGCGGTTTCGTTATTTTTCTTCATTTGATGGCTTCGGGGCTTGATCCCTGGATCTGTCCATCACTGGAACTTTTCCCTGTTTGGGAAGCTTTAGGCCCTACCCGGTTGTTCTTTTCCTTTTGCCTGCTTTCCAGTCTAGATTCAGTCAGGCTGTAGGTAGAGTCCGTGAGTCTGTCATTTCGAGCAGTCGTAGATCTAGCTCGTAGCACTGGCAGGCAGTGTTGCATAACCCGACGGTCGGCGGCCCTTGACTGGTCGGCACCTACCGGTCGGGGGTCGTCCGCACCCGGGTCCCAACACCCCCAAACCGGTCCCAACACCCTCATTACGCCCCCCAATACCCCCTATACCACCCCTATACCCCCCTACACCCTTCCTCCACTCCTCCCATACCCCTTCCCCGTCCCCGAAAGTTTCTCAGCGGATTTGGGCTGCACTCAACAAGCGCAGTACAGCGCCCAACTCAGATTTGAAAAAAAATCAGTGGATGGTTGTTTTGAATGTTTTCTGACTGGTCGGCAGACCGCCGACCGGTCGGCCCTACTGGTCGGCTGCAATACGGTCGGCGGTCGGCAGGTATGCAACCCTGCTGGCAGGGTAGAAAGACGACGCAGCCCAATTCTGACGGGTTCTGCTCGTTCATTTTTGGGGGTGGCTTGAGTGAGGTGGTGTGGTGGTCAGCAGCGATATTTCGATACAGCGCTGGGCATCTTCTCCAAGTATCTGGCATCCATAGCTGGGGCCTGGGAGCACCGAGCAAGGGCCCTTGAGCGCCGATAGGCGTCTCCTTGTTCCAGTGTGCTGTTAGAGTTTGTCAGCTTCCAGCGGAGCAGCTGTCCCTTTTAAAGTGTCTTCGAAGTTGGCAGACCTCCATCTTCATTGAGTTGGTGTTCTTCGTCTTAATCCTCGGAGCTAAGCTCGCCGCTGAGTGGACACATCATCTGCAGATGAGGATTTGGGCATTGCAGGGTGTCGTGTTGGATTCAGGAGGGCGTGTGGCGTTGGCAGGCTGAGTAGGTTGGGCGCTGTAAGTGGCTGTGGCGCCATAGCTAGAGCTTCGTGGCGAGGGAGGAAGAAGTCTCCCAGTAATCTCAATGGAACTCTGTTTCTGATTAGTTCATAGGTGTTGTAACGTGGTTGGGATCCTGCGAATTCATGCTGCTGATTAAACTCGGGAGAGAGGGTAACAATCAGAATCGATTGGAATCGGTTCTAATTTTGGATTTTTTGTGAGCTTCCGCTGAGTATTCTCATCACTGGGGTGGTGGGGATTGCTCTCTCTCCCAAGTCTACTTGTCATTGCACGTGTATGGGACCGTGTGAATGTCATGCCGGATTCGTTTTCGTTTTTGATCAACCACATAACAATTCTAACAGAATCATGCGCTGTAAGCATGGACTGTTCAACAGTAAAGAAAGATTGCGTTTGAGGCTTCGTCAACTTCTTTGTTTTTTTTTCAGTCAACAAAAAAAATAGGGGGACAAGGGTTTTTTCAACAGTTTGGGGGCATGAAAGAGAAGGACCTCTTGCCCCTGGAAATGCTCCAGCTCCTCTTCCAGTCCTTCAAGTGAGACATCATCTCTGCAAGGGTACAACGTAAGTAGAAAATGTCAGTATGTTATAAGTTTGATATTTATAGTTACCCCTTTCAATAATTTCATTAAAATTTAAAAATGTACTCTCAGCATATCAAAGCATCCACCATTCCAATTTGCTCAAGGAGCCCATCAATCAGCAGATTTCTGTGCTGGGAGAGGGTGAAGAAGGAAGCTCAAATCGCAAGCACATTGAGCGCTCACGGTCAAGTATGCGGTCAGCAATGGAGCCCTGAGTGGAACCACTAAACCATCGATCACATATGCACAAGATACGAACGATTTCGAGGGCTCTTGATGAAGAAAGCCCCCCAACTTGCCTCCAATCAAGAAGAACCATAACAGCAACAGTAATTCTGATGTCTCTCTCTACACACACCAGCCAATGTACGACATGCACATCGGCCAATGTGCCGACATGTACACAGTCCAACGTGACAACATGCCCTGGCCGCCAGGCTACTTCAGCCTACTCTACCGCTCTCTGAAGTCAATTTTTGCACAGCTCAAAGCAGCTTCCACCGGTGTTCAGTCGAAGAATGTACAACAAGGGAGTTCCGCGCCGTTACCACCAGGTATGCCCATCTCCCCTCTTCTTCTTCTTCTTCTTCTTCTTCTTCTTCTTCTTCTTCTTCTTCTT